TTCCATGAATAACTGTACTAATTGCTTTTTGTTTTAACAGAGATTGAGATAAATATGCTGGATGAGCAGCTGATCAAGTTTCTGGCCTTGCAGAGAATACATCAGCTCTTTCCTTCCAAAGCTCAGTCTCTAGCAAGCAGTGTCAGTGCCCATCAGCAATCTCCTGTGACAAACCACATTGAAGGTAAGAGCAGCCCTAGAATAGCTGGGTTATGTTGAGCCTTACCCTTCTGGCACTTCTGCCTGTTCCTTGAAGGACATCTTCACTCTTCCTTTGGTATCTGCTTGATGCTGCCTTTCTCTCTTTGCATTTCCTTCTCTGGATATCTGCTGACCTGGGATGCTTCCAGGTCCCTCTGCTAACTTGTCATGCAGTGAGAATACCTTCAGTGATGTGTCAGTGAGCCTTCTGATTTTCTGAAGGTCTTTAGTAATGGCACGTTTTACTCATCTGAGCACGAGATGGGAAGGTTGCGTTGTTCTCCTCTCCCCATCTTTGAGGTGGACAAGAGAAACATTTAAGATAAATACGCTGATAATCTCCACAGGCCTGAATTCAGCTCTGGTCGTGGGTTTTGGCATTACTAAAACACCACCAGCTGCACGGGGAACGTGGCTTCCTGTTCCTCTGCATGCAGTCATTCAGTGTGATCTGCTTTCGAGCACTAAGTGCACAGCCTTGCTGTGGGAGCAGTTGTCTGCTCCCCCCTGCTGGGCCTGGGGCTGGATATCCAAGATAAGGTCTTTGGAAGTCTGCTGGCATGGCTGACCTTCTTCTGAAGCTCTGTGCTTGCCTGCTTACTTGCTGCTGTAGCATCACAGCATTCTCTGAATGCTTTGTTGACCATCTTCTGAGCACTGCTGTTGGATACAGCGCCAGGCCGCGATCGGAGCTGCTTTCCTGTGCTGCTCCAAGCAACCAACTCCTGGAAATTCTTCAGCACTCTGCTTCCCAAAAGGCAGATTGATGCTGTCTTAACCCACAGCCCTTTCTGGACAGGGTGGATGCATCCAGCTGACTATTCAGCATTACTGACAGTAGATTTCAAACCTTTTGTGAGCCCTGTTGAGTCAGCAGAGGCAGACAACTGAAAGGACTCATGCAGAGGTGGCAAGCTGCACAATTCAACTGTGCCAAGTGCTGCACGTCCAGGGATGCCACTCAGTGTGGCCACTGTTCCTGACATAGGTGACTCTGCAAGCAGTCTCATAATCCTTGTGTTCTGCTCTTTGATTTCACACTCTTGGCATAAAACTGGCCTGCAGATGTGGTGTCAGAAGAGGCTCTGTGTGTATAAGGGGCTTATCTCCAAGAGACAGCTGCTGAAATCCCGACAGCCCTGTGTGCCCTGCGGTTTGATATCTGTTCCACAGAAAATGATTTTCTGCCCGGTTCACGCGGGTGTGTGCAAATGATTTCAACCTGGCTGCCAGGAAACTGCTGCAGGGACCGACCTGAGGGTAAAGCAGTGTGCTCAGGACATCAGCCCGTGCTGGGAATGGGGTTAATCCCTGGTCCAGGCTGCTCAACCTGTGCCTTTCCCGCAGCTTCTCTACAAGTGGAGCTGTGATGTTGGTGACGTTCACCAGCAGCAACTTTTGCAAGCGGTGCTTTGCCAGCAAGGCACAAGGCTGATAACCCAAAGCAGGAGAGATGAAGAAAGAAGCTAGGAGTAGAGAGCTCCTGTTCTCAGCATGGCTCTGCTGCGTGTGCTCTGCAATTGCATGGCTTCTCTGGGTACCTGGGAAGGCTTCTCCCTAACGATGAGATGCTTTATCCACAAACGTTTCTGGAGGGTTGGAAAGCTGGAGCTGAGGCTAAAGCTGCATCCCCCCCTAGGATCTGTGCTGTCTGCTGGCATCAAGCAGCCCGCGGAGCTGATAACATTGTTCAAGTGCTTTCTCTTTATCTTGCAGCGCAAAGAAAGGAAGTGCAAGCCCGGGCAGTGTTCTACCCTCTGATGGGCTTGGGGGGTGCGGTCAATATGTGCTATCGAACGCTCTACATTGGGACAGGTGAGTGGCTTTTCCCCAGTGTCACCTTCTGGAGGCAGAGTGGTTCTCCCTGCCCCCCCCCCCCCCCCCTTCCCCGTGTGCTCCAAGGGGAGTTGAGCGCCGCTGCTGGGATTCCTCACGAACACAAACACAGAAGTCCCCCATGCAGCAGAATGTTTGCTCTGGGGCTGTGCCTCTGCAGCCTGGTGGGCACCAGAACGTCTCTGGGCAGGGAGAAGAATTAAAGTTTGCTTGTGGGTTTTGTTTCTCGCTGCTCGCATCCCTTTGGCGCTCTGGAAATGGCCGGCAACACCTAAATGCTGCTCAGCCCTCCTGCCTGTGCAGCAGCCAGCTCTCCCTTCCCCCACTGAAACTTTGTTCGTGGCTTATCGCAGCGTTATTCATGCAGGCCTGGGAGTGCAGACAAAGGCAGTTGCTCCCCTGTTGTTTTGCTAATTGAAGTTTAATTCTGTCTGTTGTTCTCTGCTGCCTGGCAGTTCTTTTTTTTCTTCCTGAAACGAACTGAGCATTTTTGTCCTCCCCATTGGCAGGAGCCGATATGGATGTGTGCCTTACAAGCTATGGTCACTGTAACTACGTGTCCGGCAAACACGCCTGCATATTCTACGATGAGGTGAGAGCCCGAGCCTTTCTTTGCTTGGCGTGCATGGCAGGGGGAGCTGGAGATACAGGCAGCAGGTTGCCTTTGTGCGGTGCTCCTTTATGGGACTGCAAAGTAGGAGCCAGAGCTGTGAATGGTTTCACTCCATGAAGGCTGCGTCAGCGTTTTGTGTCAAACCCCTTTCTGAAGCGCAGAGCTCTGCCAGCATGGTTGCTCTGAGCAAAGTGCTTGTGGACAAAGGCTGACCACAAGCAAGTGCTGTCACTGCTGGCATCCGGGGAAGGAAAATAGCACAGAGATGGTTTGATCCTTTTTGACCCGGCTGATATTTAACTAAAATATTAGTGTAAACAGAGCTGCCTCTTCCTACCATCCAGAGATGAGTTTGTTCATGGCGTAAACAGACCGGTCTGCCAATGGAAGTGCCGCTGGAGACAGGCTCCTGTTTGACCATCAACAGCAGCAGGCAGGGAGGGGTTGTTTGTGATCAGTTCCTTCTTCCCCTTGCTCAGAACACGAAACATTACGAGCTGTTGAACTACAGTGAGCACGGGACAACGGTGGACAACGTTCTCTATTCGTGTGACTTCTCGGAGAAGATGGCTCCCACTCCTCCCAGCAGTATTGTTGCCAAAGTGCAGAGTGTGATAAGTGAGTGTCCACACAGCCCAGCCCCTGTCGTGCCCTGGGGACCCGTCGGAGGTCCTGTTCCCCTCTGCTCAGCTTCCTCTTGCCCGGCTGCTGAACTGCACGCGCTCGTGTCCCCCTGGGGACAACGGGACGCCTCTTAGGGCTGCCCTGGGACTCTGTTCCTCTTCCATCTGCTGCTGAAGTGCCTCCAGGCTGCAGGGTTTGCTCCTGGAGCGCCCGAGCAGCAGCCCCAACGGGCTGAAACAAACCGCTGCCTCGAGCTGCACCAAACCTGACGTGCTTTTTCTTTTCCAGAGCGACACAAAAGCAGGAAGCAGGAAGAGGAGCCGCATGAAGAAGCCGCCGTGATGAATTCGCAGGCACAAGGGCAGCATCGGAAGCCCTGCAACTGCAAAGCCAGCAGCTCCAGCTTGATAGGGGGCAGCGGGGCTGGCTGGGAGGGGACGGCTCTGCTCCACCACGGCAGTTACATCAAGCTGGGCTGCCTGCAGTTTGTTTTCAGCATTACTGAATTTGCGACCAAACAGCCCAAGGGGGACGCTGCCTTAGTACAGGACATGGACTTGGAGGAGAAGCTTTCTCTGAAACCCCACCAGGTGCCCGTGCTGCGCTCCAACTCTGTTCCCTAGGAATTTCGAGGAAGAGAAGCTTTGGAGATCCAAGGAAAACGCCCTCAGACTCTTGGCAATGCAAAAACTGTACAAAACCGAGGTGGGATTTTCTAACGTCAGCCCAGAGACTGTCCACACGCCGTTTGCATGAAATGAAGAACGTTTAACTTTTTTTAATTTTCTTTTTTTGCTCAAGTTTTAGGGGCATTTGCACATATATTTGTACTATACATTTCATTTTAAAAGGAAAACTGCAGCGAGAGCAGGACGCGTCGGAGCGAGGGGCGTCTGAGCCGAGGACTCTGACAGATCGCACCCACGCAGTTGTAAAATAATCAGAAACTTGTTCTATTTTGTGCCAGTGACAATAGTTTTATATTAAAAGAGAAATACAGTTTTCATACAGCAAATCTATACAATATCATTGTTTTATTTAATGTAAAGAAGCCGCTCTTCTTCCCACAGTTACGTTTCCCATCCCTCCCCGCTCTGGTTGCACTACAGTAGCTACTGTGTATTGGGCAGTGAGAAACAAATTCTTTGCCTGGTGTCCATCCTCTCTCCTTTTTTTTTTTCTTTTTTTTTTTTAATTTCAAATAAGGAAAAGCGTTGGATTCTGTGTAAATACATCAGTGATGGCATTTTCAATGTTTTAAAGCTGTGTACAGTGCTACATGTGGTATGACGTCCCCCGACTTGTCTATTGTAGCAGCTCGTTTCGTCGTAACCCCTCTGTCTCTTTTGTTTATATGCCACCCCCTGCAGCAGGCCAGCTAGCTCCACTGTACAGAGTAATTGTAACGTTTTAGACTTTACAGAAACTTTCCTGTATTCTGTATATAAAAAAAAGAAAAATTCACATTGTTTTCTGCCTGTCTGTGTCGTTCTGTCAGCAGGATGGGGGGGGGGTGGGGGGCGGGGGGCCTTGCAGCAGAGCTCGGTGTGATTTTATTTCCCCCCCCTCCCCAGGGCTGGTGTGACCTCGAGCTCTCCCTGTCCCCATTGCGCTGCCCTTTGCCCGCTCCATTGGCTTTCGCACCCCTTCCTGCACAAAGGGCTGCGGCTCTCGGCAGCACAGCCCTCTTCCTCTTTTCCTCCTCCCCTTCCTCCCTGCGGACGGGATGGGGTGGTGGCTGCTGGCTGTGGGGCTGCTGCTCTGCCTGCTGCTTCGCTTCACCCTACGCAGCCCCGCGCCGCCGCTCGCCCTGCCCCCGCTGCACGGCCGCACCGCCGTCGTCACCGGTGAGCGCGGGGCGCCGCGTGCTGCTGCCTGGCTGCCGCCTGCCGACTCACAGCTCTCTGTTGTGCTCTCCTCTGCAGGGGGCAGCAGTGGTATCGGGGAGGCTGCGGCACGGCAGCTGGCACGGTGCGGGGCGCGCGTGGTGCTGGCAACGCGCAGTGCGCTGCGGGGAGAAGAGGCTGCGCGGCGCATCCGTAGGGTGAGAGAGAGCTGGGGGGGGTTAGGGAGGGTAATAGGGGCACAAAGAGGGGCTCTGGGGTATCGCTGGGACACCCCCACGGGACGGTCCCAGCGTGCCCCCAGTTCACCCTTATGGCACATCCTTGGAGGACCCTAAGGCACCCATGCCTTCAGCACGCCATGGCGCAGGATGCCCATAGGTAGGATGATCCCATAGGACACCCCCTGCACCCCAAGCACCCCCAAATACCTCTACGTGCATCCCTAAAATACCCCCACAGCACATCCCTGGACACCTCAGCTGCAACCTCTGAACATCCCTGTATCATCCCTCACCTCAGTGCACCCTTAGGCCACCTCCATGGGCTCTCCCCAGTGTTCCCTTGCAGCCCTTTGTGCACTCTTAGGACCCCATGACACATCCCTGGACGCCCCTATGGTCCATTCCCAGTGCACCCCTAGGACCCCCCCTTGGCCCTCCCCTGATATGTGCGGTGCATCCGCATGGCACATCCCACTGTAACCCTCCTCCCATACTCCCAATGCATCTCTAGGACATCCAGATGGGGCCACCCCCAGCATACCCCACCTTTAGGCCACCCCATAGCATTTCCCTGCAGCCCCCTCCTCCCTCCACCCCCATTGCAGGACACGGGGAACCCCGAGGTGCTCTTCATGCCTCTGGACCTCAGCAGCCTCCACTCAGTGCACGCCTTCGCCACCGCCTTCCTGCAGCAGGAGCCCCACCTGCACCTCCTCATCAACAATGCCGGTGAGCAGCAGAGCACTGCATTGCATGGGGACCCCCAAACCCAGCACCCACACCACGCACTGCCCACACAGGAGTGAGCGCCGGGGGCACGACGGAGGATGGTTTCAGCCTGCCGTTCCAGGTGAACCACCTGGGCCACTTCCTGCTGACCCGACTGCTGCTGCAGCGCCTGCAGAGCAGCGCCCCGAGCCGTGTGATCATCGTCGCCTCCTCTGCACACTGTGCTGGCCGCCTGCGCATGGCTGAGCTCGGCCGCCCACCCCCCGGCCCCTTTGCTGCCTTCCAGGATTACTGTGACAGCAAGCTGGCCAACGTGCTGCACGCACGGCAGCTGGCAGCACGCCTGCAGGGGACTGGAGTCACTGCCTATGCCGTGCACCCAGGTATGGGCAGCTCAGTGCCAAGTGGTTTGCTTGTTGCATGCTTGCGTGGAGCACCCCTTCATGTGGAGTGTCCCTTTGCACGGTGCTCCTTTGCACGGTGTTCCCTTTGCATGCAGCATCCCTCTGTGCTGTGCATCTTTTACGCAGTTCACCTTTTGCACAGCATCCCTTTGCATGATGCATCTCACTGCACGGTGCATGGAGCACCCTCTGTGCAGTACACCCTTTCTACAGTTCACCTTCTGCACAGCATCCTTTTGCATGCCACATCCCTTTGCGCGAAGCATCCCTTTGCACAGCCATCTCTTTGCACACCACAAAGCGCGTTGCTTTGCGTGCTGTGTCCCTTTGCTGATGGGTCCCCTCCCCACCGGTGCCTGCTGCAATGCACCCCCTCCTCTCTCCCTGCAGGTTTTGTCAACACGCAGCTGTTCCGTCACGCACCGCTGTGGTTGCAGCTGCTGTGGACTCCGCTGTCCCGGTTCTGCTTCCGCAGTGCAGCTGAAGGCGCTCGCCCAGTGCTGTTCTGTGCCACGCAGGATGGCCTTGAGCCCCTCAGTGGCTGCTACTTCGCCGACTGCCGCCCTCTGCAGCCTTGGGCTCAGGGCAGGGATGATGCTGCAGCACGGGAGCTGTGGGACCGCAGCGAGAGGCTGTTGGGGCTGCAGCCCTCCTTGTGCACACCTGTGGAATAAATAAGTCCTGCAGTTGTGTTGCACGGTGTCATGCAGCTCCCCAAGCTGCCCTGGTGCCATCTTCTGCATGCCATCCCGTGCACACTTGCACATGCAGAACAGCTCGTCCAGCTTTGCAAAGAGTGCAGTTGCTACAATGCAGCACGCTCTGCCTTGCACACACATGCACAAGCTGTGTGCACGCCCTGCCTTGTCAATACATGCATGTGCACACAAATGCTGCAGTGTGAATGCGCTCTGCTTTGCATAGTGCAACAAATCACACTGTAGTGTGCACACTGCACCATGCACTGCATTGCACACTCTGCAACAAAGCATGCCCTAATGCACACACACTGCAATGCACACACATGCACTGCACTGCACATGCACATACACTACACACATTGCATATGTCCTGCCTTGTGCATGCACACACAGCCTTGCACGCACACAGTACATGCTTTGCAACGCCTGCACTGCACTGCACGTGCCCTGCCTCGCACACACTGCATTGCACATGCATGCATACACTGCACACGTGCTGAACTGCACACACTGCATTGTATACAGCCTCGCACATTAAGGAACACACTGCTGTGCACTGGCCACCCTCTGCATGGCACGCCCTCCCCTTGCATTGCATTGCATTGCATTGTCGTCGCACACTGCGCACGCGCCGCGTAGCTCCCCAAGATGGCGGCCGCCCCTGACCCCGCCCCTCCGCGCGGCTCTCACCTCCCCAAGATGGCGGCCGCCCTCCCAAGATGGCGGCCGGCCGTGACTCCGCCCCCAAGAGCGCTGCCCACCTCCCCAAGATGGCGGCCGCCCTGGAGGCGGGGCGGCGCTGGGCGGACCGGGTGCGGGCGGGAGGCGGCGAGAGGCGGAGGAGCCGTTCCGCGGGCAGCATGGGCAACTGCCACACGGTGGGGCCCAACGAGGCGCTGGTGGTGTCAGGTACGGGCGGGCACAGCGCTGTGGGGCTCTGGCTTGAAGGGGACCCGGGGGGGTCCTGAGCTCTGGGGGTGGGGCTGCGCCAGGCCTGGGTGTGGGGGGGTCACGGTGTGGGGAGGGGACCTGTGGCACTGGGGGGGTCAGCAGGTGGGTTAGGGGGACGTGGCACTGGTGTGGCACTGGTGCTCCCTGCTCAGCCCTGGGACAACGGTGGGAATTGCTGAGGCCGTGGCAGGAGCAGGGAAATGCACGCTGTGTGTGGCTGCTGGTTCTCAGGAGATGCAGACAGCTTCCCTTGGCTCCCCGTGAGACCCCTTCTGCAGTGCTTGGGAGCCAAGGAGCCATCGTCCATCTGCACCAGGGCACCGCGCAGGCTGCAGGGTTTGCTGTAACCTCTGTTCCTTCCTGAATCTCACAGCGTGCAGCTCGCAGGACGGCCTGGCAGGAATTCGTGACATCAGCTGGTGAGCCAGGGCTGCTCCTGGATGCAGCACCGAGCTGTGGGACGAGGGCAGGACACAGCCCAGGGATGCAGAGTGGGCTCAATGCCATCCCCAGACACAGCTCTGCTGCTGTTCCCTACCAGCATCGGCTCCTCAGCACCCCTGGGCAGAGCAGCAGGGTGCAGCCCTGGGTTCCGGGAACTGAAGCGGTCTGTGTGCAGAACAGAGAGAGCTGACGGCATCCGGCGCTTAATTGGGTGATATTAGGTCAGATCTGGGAAAGGGAGGGGAAATCTGACAGCAGGTCGTGGCAGCAGCTGGCTCTTGGCTTGCTGTCATACAGCTGTGATGCTTTCTGAGCTCCTTCTTTTTGCTGGTGAGACATCTCAGGCCCTCAGCACCAGGAGCAGCAGCCGTACCCTGGAAACCTGTGTGCGTGCAGAGATCCACAGCCTTATTTGGGAAGCAGCCTCCAGGGCACGGCCAGCACTGTGCTGTGTCCTTCCCTCTTGAGCAACACTCATTTCCTTCTAAGAAACTGCCCTGGGTCAGGCAATCCATGCCGAGCCCAGGAATGCTCTGGGGAGCTGCGCGAGGTGGTGATGGGCTCTGCAATTTGAGTCTTATGTTGCAGGAGGAGCTGCAAGCTTCCCACTGGGGCTTGGCACGGGCCCTGGGGAGGCTTTGGCTCCTTGCAGGCTGCTCCTGGGCAGAGCCCTGCATTCAGAGAAGCAATACCTGCTCACCCTGATGTCAGGCTTCCCACAAGATGCACAGATCCTCTCCAAGTGCGTAATGGTTTTCAGTTGCAGTCTGGCTGAACGCAGCCGTTGTGGCTTGGGATCAATCTGCTAATGCTGAAATCCGACACTAATATTTCTGCAGAGCCTCATCGTCAGGAGGTGTCATATTTAATGGCTGCGCTCATCTTACAGCTCCTGTGAGCCAACAGGGCAAACAGTGCAGGGCCCGGCAGCAGCTGGGACATCTGGAGGTGCAGTGTGGGGCAGGTTGTGCAGAGCACAGTGCTGGTGGAGCAGCAGGGTGCTGCTTCAGCTGGAGGTCAGGGTGTGAAAGGAGAAGCAATAGGGCCCAGCTCAGCTCCCCAGTGCAGCCCCTCTGGGCTCTTTGATCTCTCTCAGAGCAAGAGAAGAGCAGGCAGCTGATTCTAGTTTTGTGTCAACATTTCCTGTCAGGCCCCAGCAGTTGGGGATGGTTAACCCTTCCCGACCTGATCTGAGCACTCACATCCTCTTGCTGCATCCCTCTTATTCCTGCAAGAGGAACTGTCTGTGAGCCAGCGTACCACAAAAACACACAACAGTCACTTGTACACGTTTTGAAAGCCAGAAATACAGTCTTCTGGAGGCTCTGTGAACCCTTCCTGCTCTGTGAGAGCCCTGCAGTCCTCAGGTACTGTAAGCTTGATATGAGCCAGGCTGGAAAACCAGTGCCAGGGAACCTGACAGTGGTTCACTGTTCAGCTGAAGGGATTTATCAAGTAAGTGCCTTGTTTTGGCTTGGGTGGTGGAATCGAGAATGTGCTTATTGAATGTGCAGATGACATTGAGCTGGGAATGGATTCGAGAGCTTTGAGAGCAGGATTAGGATCAAAGCAAACTCAACAGCTAGGCCAAACGGTCTGAAAGGGGTGCGATGCTGTTCAGTGAAGAGAAATGCAGAGAGTGCTGTTTAGGGGAGAGCAACCAATGGCATCAGAACGGAACAGAAGCTCCAGGCCATCTCCTGTAGGAAAGGGAGGCTGCAATCTCCAGGTCCCTGCAGAGAGGAAAGCAGGAGAAGAGGCAGGCAGAGTCCTTTTGTTTCTGGGAGGAATTCTGGGGTAATGTCTCAGCACCTTGCTTGTGTTTGCTTTCATTCTCCTCTGGGTTTCTGTGTGCAAGGTGAGTTCAGCTGAAGGTGTGGTTTGCAAACTCTCTGTAGCAGCGATACTCAGAGTTGGAAGTGGTTTGGGTTTGGATGACCTCCAGAAGGAGCTCACCAGCACAACCTGCACTTCCCTGTTGTCGTGACCATCAGAGGATTGCACAGACCCACCTCAGAATCCCGCATCTGATAAATCCATTTTATTAACCTTGGACGAAGCACGAGGACAAAGCCTGATTGATATTCACAGTGGCACCTAAGAACCAGACGCTGATTTTAGTCTAGACCCTGCTTTATTACGTGAGTTTCTTTGCGTATGTCTTTGCCTTCTCCCCTCTGTGTTCAGCAGTGCTCCCAGCAATCACTCTGCTGGTTTCCCAGCAACACTTCCCTGCATCTACCAAAGAGCTCAGCTTATCTACAGATCCTCAAATCTTTCATCTCATGTCATCCAAGCCAGGCAATGTGCTTTCTCTCGGCTCTGGCAAGCCATGCTGGAACACGGGACCCCTTCATCTGAAGAGGCCAAAGTGGCTGGCAGCTGCCTGGCCATGAATCCCCCGTTTGCAGCAGGTCTGACTGTGGCACGCTGCACCCGGAAAGTGGGAGATGTTGGTGAAAGGGACAGCAGAGTGGCTGTGAGACCCAGCCCTGGGGAACAGCGGGTGTATTATAGCTGAAAAATGCACCTCCTCTGCCAAATCCCATTGTGCAAGAGGGGTTATTCTTCAGCCTTGCAAGGATTTCACTTTGTGGGTTCTTTTTTCACTTGATCTCTGAGACTTGGCAAAGAGGCTGCAAGAAGTGCAATGGAAAATTAACCATCGTGCGTTAGCGGGACAGAGCTCTGCTGCAGTCCAGCGTCCAGCTTGCAGGAAAGCAACCAGCTGGCCTTCCACCTCTGCTTGATGGCTTTGGCTTCCCTGTTCTTCTTATGCTTTGAACGCTTCAGGGCAGAGTTTAGCAAATGGAGCTGCACAGCAGTGTTAGGAGGCTCTGGGAAGCGAGTGTTGGATGTGATGCTGAGCGAGGCGTTGCCTGCAGAAGAAAAAAGGAATCTGTGAGCAGAAGCACCTTCCCAACTTGTAGCAGCAGCGCTATTAGGGCACGTTTTTCTCAGAAAACGATTATTAAACAATTGCCAGAGGTTCACTGGAGGCCTGATGACCACGTGGATGCTGTGAAATGAACAACTTTCCGTGCTGCCAGGAGCACCTCCCTTCCTGTCCTTGGGAAATGAGGTCCTCCAACAAATGTTACCAGGCGTTGCAGTGCTGTGAGATGGTTCTGCTTGCAACTCGCCCTGTTTGGGTGCAGGGTTTTCCCTGACACATGGGTGTAATGGCTCTTCCATCTGTGTTCTTCCCACTGTGCTGCAGGTGGCTGCTGTGGCTCCGACGTGAAGCAGTATGTGTACGGCGGCTGGGCCTGGGCCTGGTGGTGCATTACGGACACACAGAGGTAAGGAGACCCAGAGGTCACCCCCACTTTGCTCGTGGGTCTGGAGGACATGCCAGGCAGAGCCGTCCCTGCAGGGCTGTCAGTGTCTGTAGGAATGCAGGGCTGGCCTGGACGTGGGAAACCATGGCTGAGCATCAGCACTCTGCCTTTGGCTGCAGCCCCTGCCTGCTGCCCAGCTCTGTTCTTCTGAAGACGTGCTCACTGCTGTCACCACAGGAGCAGGCTGTGTTCTTGTTTAAAAGCACAGGATTTCCTTTCCTTCCCTTTCCTCAGTCATGGACTTTGCTTGTTTCTGAACTAACATGCTGTGGTACTGCTGCTATGGCTGTTCTTTAGGACCTGTGGGGATGTTGCTAAGTGTGCTTCTGTCCTAACACCTCCCTCGCATCCAGGCACAGGTTTCTGCCTATGTAAAAAAGTAACAGGGAAGGGATAAAGACGTGACTTTTGGGTTTTTTGCACTACATGAAGGCCAGAGGTTGCAGCTAAGCTTCCCTCCTCCACATCAATGTGTCTCCACCAGCAGACAGCCAGCATGCTGCTGCCCTCCCCCTGCAGATGCTGCACAGCCCTCAGTGCTGCTCGCCTGGCTCAGCCAGCTTGCTGCTGGCAATGGGCTCACAGCTCTTAGCTCCTTTCCTGGGACCTTGCATGAAGAGTCTCAGCTAACACCCTCTGCTTTGGCCCAGGCTCTCTGGCAGTGCTGCTGTTAACTTGTGAAGTTGGGCAAAGGTTGAGTCCAGGTTAGAGAGCTGCTTGCTGGGAGCGAGCTGTCATGTGCTGGAGGTCTGTGCACTGTCTGGCAAATGGGGCTTGGACAGGATTGCCAGCACCCAAGCAAATATTGTACTTTAAAATCTGTACCCTCAGGTCACACCATGGGGCTAAATTCTCCTTTTGAGACTGGAGTCTTTCCCAAATACCATAAGTTGTGCCACAATTGGAACCTGCTGCACGCACACGAGTGAGGCAGATTTCTTCCTTTGAAATTAGGACATCTTTTTTGGAACTATGGATGAGACAGCAGTAATTGTGTTGCTGTCAGCTGCACCTCGCCAGGTAGCACCGACCTGAGGACAAAAGGAGTGCTTGGAGCTGGCAGGGCAATGGGCTCTTATCCTGCTGCAACCTTGAGGGCTGAGGGGAAAAAAAACACAGCAGGAAAAATCGCATCCCTGTGTTGAGGTCAGAAATAAAAGCAGCCAGAGAGGCAGTGCCTCCCAGGGAACCAAATGGTGTTATTCAGCCTCTCAGGACAGCACTTGGAAGCATCTTCTCAGTGCCTTAGCAGGGATGTGTAGCCGGGTCCCTGGTGCTTTTATTTTTCTGGCCCATCTTTAATGTTGGCAGAGACAGCGAAGCCGTTACAAAAAATGATTTCCTGTGTTAAAAGTGCTGCAGCAGGAAATTCCAGCTGACTTCAGGACAGCAGTGCAGGTGGGTTACAGGTGGCAGCACCTGATGGGGGTCGGGGTGAGAGCCCGGCCTCTTTAACCTCACTAAAAAGCAGCACCAGATGCCGAGAGCTCCATGCAGCATGGGGGAAGCTGTGCCCAGCATTACAGAGTCCAGGGAGCAGCAGTGGGAGAAATGCAGACATGAACAGGGAAAAAGCTGAAAGCCCCGTCTGTCCTTTGCAACAAGTGTCTTACTCTCTGGTAACCGCTTTGTGTATTTGCTGTCCTACCCTTATTCCTTGCTGCTCAGACTGTCTTTGGAGGTTATGACCATCCTCTGTCGCTGTGAGAATATTGAGACGTCGGAGGGGGTCCCACTGTACGTAACAGGGGTTGCACAGGTAATAATCCACCAGCTTCCTAACGTCACGTCTAACTATTTCTGCCTCTGTTCTGAGCAGCAGCAACAGCAGCAGCAGCAGGACAACATAAAAACGAATGGTTTTCTAATGGGACAGTGAACATCTCTTCCTCTCCTACCCCTCCTCTGGCGTTTGCTCTGGGGTGCACTCTGCAGCGTGTAGGTAATGCAGACAGATGCATACTTGGCAAATTCCAAATTCAGCATTGCTATGCTGGCTCCTGATAATGCTGCAGACTTTTGCTTCGACTGTAACCCTTCCCTTGGCAGCACCATTCGCATTGCGTGCAGAAGTGCATCTGGCTGCAGACAGGCAAGGCTGGGTTTTACACAGGGAAGGTGGGGAGCTGAGCTTTGGCTCGTTTCGAAAGGAAGTCTGCGCCCACGTGGGGAAATGGCAGCTCTCTGGTTTTGAATACGAATTTCCACTGAGCCCTTCCTCCTCCACACAGAGGCAGTGCCCGTTTTGGATGCTGTCTCGTTTAAAAGCACAGCACGGAGACCTCGGGTGAGTTGCAGCACTGAGGAGTGGTGTTTGCTCTTGCTGTGAGCAGTTACAGACCGCCGTCACAGCGATTACCGAACTTCCCTGGGACTGGCCAGCTAGGAAGCAGCACAGCATTTAATTGAAATTAAAGGTATGGATTAGGCTTTCAGAAGTCCTACACCAGCTGATTGAAGCTGCATATGGCACAAAATGCCTGTGCGCATCCCGGGCAGCGGGACCTCGTGTTTTCAGCTCCCAGCTTGCATGTCAGTTCAATTAGGACAGCAGCCAGGGCAGAGTTGGGCTCGCAGGGATTTGTTTGAGCACCCCACCAGTCCCAGACGTGCCCACGGCGTGCACATTGCAGCCCCCTGCCACCCACTCATGCTTTGGATACCTGAGCTAATGCTGACCAACACGAGCAGGCTGCACAGACCAACACGTTGCTCTGTGTCCCAGCATGTTCCCAGCTCGGTGCAGCTGCTCCTATCTATGGGCTGCGCTGCCTGGAGCACAGCTCGTGTGTCACCATCTTGTGACCTGCAGATCTGTCCACAGCACCTTCAGCCCTTGCCAAAAGCAAGATATGCTTTTGGCTGTCTGACCTCAAAGGAGCTGGAGACGCACGACCCAAAGGCGAATAGGAAAAATAGGGAGAGTGAGGGAGATGAGAGAGTAGGGCTGTGTGAGTGTTAAGCCAATGAGGGAAAAGGCATGGCTGCTTCTTGCAGCACCAGCATCACGGGGGTGGCGCAGGGTGGGTGCATCTGGGCTCCGTGCTGTGCTTTTAAACCAGTGACAGCAGCCAGAGCTGGGGACCCAAAGCTCCTGGCCGCCTCACCAGCCCTGCTGAAACACTCCTGTTAAGTGGCGTGTGGAAACCTCCTTCTTTGTGTCCAAGGTGTCCTGTCTGTCTGCAGTCACACACAGTTCTGTGCCTGTCTCGCATTACCCGTAGGAGTGCAGCTGGTAGCCAGGGCAGGAGGTGCAGGGGAAGGCAGAGTGTGTGTGACCTGGAAACGTGCAAATATTTTACGTTTTTTGGCAGGATTTCCCTAGAGATAATGACGTTACAGCCCAGGTGTGAGGACGTAGAGACGGCGGAGGGGGTAGCTTTAACTGTCACAGGTGTGGCACAGGTACAGTAACTCCAAACCATCATTTCAGGAATGCATGTCTCTAACTGGCTTTCCCCCTTACAAGGTTGCTGTTGTCCTGGAACAGAAGCCAACTGCTCTGAGACAAATTCTGGTACAAGACCACACTGTCCTCTTTGGTTCGAGCACGGTACAGCACGTCCATGTTGTAACAGGGGTTGTGACCTCTCCTCTCCCCAAAATCATTCCTCTTCTTGCAATGTCACGTTTGTCCCTGTGGCGGATGAGTTGTGTGGGTGATTTCATCTGCCTGTGATGTGCCGTGGTGGCCCTGGAGCTGTGTGACACTGCAGGGCTGAGCCATTCACATCTGAGATGGTGCCGAGAGTTGGGTTGGTTTGGATTATTAGTGTGTGGGTCTTGTTGTTCTTCATGGTGAGTTTAAGCTTGAAGGAAGAACTTGAACTCTCTGGGCAATAAAATCTGTGTATGAAATTTCTGGCTTGAATTGAATTTTGGTTGCCTCAAGCCTTCTTCAGGCACAGCCAAAACCTCACGTGCACCAGGAGCCCCCCAGGATGAGCACTGCAGCTCTTTAACAGCTGTGCATTGGAGAGATTCCACCCAGTGCTCTTGCAGGGGCTCTTTGCTTGGCCCTTGACAGACAAGGTGCTGTAAGTGGGGCTGTGCTCAGCCAGGAGCAGTGTCTGCATCACTGCACACAGCAGAAGGGCTGGGCACACCTGTGGCTTCAGCTCTGTCTTTGCATGGTTGGAGAAATGCATGCACCCCTGCCTCCCTCACACACTTCTGTAAAGCTGTCAGCTTCTCCATCTTCTGATTGGCAACACTCCTTCATGGGAGGGATTTCTCTTTTAAGCTCTTTTTAGCTTCATTTTGGGACATCCTCCCACTACTCACAGCAGGACTAGGCTGGGCAGTGCATGCAGGCAGAAAGCTGCACCACCATGCTCCAATACAGCTCCAAATCTACCTTGCCCGGGTTATTTGCTATTCCCACTGTTTGTTTGTTGTTGATCTGTCACACTCACCTGAGGCTTTGGCATTTCTTTGTGTGATCGGGGTAGTGGTGTGGTGTTGAACTTGTCACCTCACAGACCTAGAAATAGTTGTGTTGCTTTTACTGGCACTTAAACCCTGGGTATGGGTCTGGCGGGGGGCAGGATGAGGTCTGTAGGTCGTGAACCCACCGAGAGCACACAGTGGAGCCCCCAGAAGGGTCTCGTTTGAGGTCTTTGAGCCAGGATGATGCTGGGCTTTCAGGCAGCTGCAGCCAGGGCTGGTGGACGGCACACAGAGGGCTGCCCCACCACCGGCACTGCCCAGCCCCGCTGTCTCCATCAGAGGGTGCTGTGGGACTTTCTCAGCACCCAGCCGTGCTGGCTGCATGCCGATATGGCCCTGCTCCCCCCCCTGCTGCTGCCAGACACACAGGCATCCTTATGTCCTGGACCACCAGGAGCTGCCACTTTAGGACTGCACTTAGGAACTGTGTGCTGCATCTCCACTACCTGACATCTGTACCCAGTGGGGGGTTTTAAGGCAGCGGGGAGCAGCTCTGGGAATTGGCACCAGATGGTGAGGAGCAGGCTGGCCAGGTGCTGGCACATGGGGCCACACAGAGCCCCCAGGCGTGTGCAGGCAGAACACAGTATGCTGTGGCCATCTCGTGTCATCCCTCCTTGCAGGGAGCACCATGTGGAACCACCGTTCCCATCGGTAGCGTGGGGATCTGGCAGCCTGGTGGTGGTGCTGCTGCTGCTGCTGCTGCTCTTCGGTGTCTCTCCCACCTTGGACAGGCACAATCAGCCCCTTTGGTTTTGTCTTCTGTCTCCAGGTGAAGATAATGACCGAGAAGGAGCTCCTGGCTGTGGCCTGTGAGCAGTTCTTGGGGAAGAACGTGCAGGATGTGAAGAACGTGGTCCTTCAGACACTGGAGGGGCATCTGCGCTCCATCCTAGGTGCGGATGGGCTCACAGTCTCGCAGGCATCAGCAGCAGCTCTTTTTTCCCCCTGTGCTGGCTGACCCCAGCAGTACTGCTGCCACCATGGCAGGCCACGATGGGTGCTTCCTCTGCTGAATGCAGATGTGGCAGCTTAGATTGTTCCTCCCCTCCAGCAGCTCGTGCTGTGCTGCTGGGTGTTGTGATAAATGAGTTTTCGGTGCCTGCAGTAAGAGATGTCTGAGTCCCTACGGGTTGCAGGTAGCCCTGTGTGTGGCTGCACTTCTGAGATGCTGATGTGCAGAACATGGGCTGGGCAGCAAGCTGTGCCCTTGTGCCCAGAGCTGACCTCGCTGTCTGTGTGATTTGAGACAAGTAGGATGTTGCTGAGCTTAGACCCATGCTGTTACATGCTCCCTGTTTCAAATGAAGTGCTTTGCCTGCCTTTCCTCTGCAGGCACCCTGACGGTGGAGCAGATCTACCAGGACAGGGACCAGTTTGCCAAGCTGGTGCGAGAGGTGGCAGCTCCAGACGTGGGTCGCATGGGTATCGAGATCCTGAGCTTTACCATCAAGGTACCATCATGGTGCACAGCCAGCCGTGCTGTGAAGCAGGGACAGAGCCTGACCCTGGCTCTCCCACTGAGGCTGATGGAAAAGCAGGGGCTGACAGCCTGCCCCAGCCCTCCAGGGGTTTCCATGACAGCCACTGCAATGTGCCCTGCATCCAGGCAGCACTGTGCAAACAGGAGAGCTCAAACAGGAGAGCTCAAACAGGAGAGCTCGATGCTGGCCGAGCCCCCAGGACTGGAGGGAGGATGCTGAGAGAGCCACCTCTCCCTGTCGTGCCTGGTTCTGCTTGGCAGCAGCCTAACGTGGCTCTTCCTGAGCCTGGCCTAACCAATGATTGCTGTGAGCTCCTTCAGGAAGGCAACAAGATGGAGTCGCTCATTGGAAGCGGCTGTGACTTATCTCCCTTTCTCCAGGATGTCTATGATAAAGTGGATTACCTGAGCTCCCTGGGAAAGACTCAGACTGCAGCTGTCCGAAGAGATGCAGACATTGGTGTGGCAGAAGCTGAGCGGGATGCTGGCATTCGGGTGAGTGCAGGGCTGTGCTGAGCTTCCCAGAGCAGTGTTTTGCTCCAGCTGCACACCCTTGAGCTGTGCTCTCCATTTTCTCTCTGCAGGAGGCAGAGTGCAAGAAGGAAATGCTGGATGTCAAGTTCATGGCAGATACTAAAATAGCAGATTCCAGGCGTGCCTTTGAACTGCAGAAAGCTGCCTTCACTGAGGAGGTCAACATAAAGGTGAGAGGTATCTGACAGCCTGCTGGTGTCCCCTGGTTTGCAGTGGTGTTGGTTGGTCTGATGCTTTCCAGCTTCCTCTCTCTGCATGTTTAGAGAGCCAGGTCTGGAGAACCCAGGTCTGTGTGTCACAGTGCACGCTGCTTGCAGCACATTCCTCTCCTACCCTGTTGCCATCACTTAAGTCAGACTAGGGGGAGATGGAAGGATGGGTAGAGTTGCCTGACTTGAACCCAGAGCTGTTTTTGTTCAAATACTGAGAAGAGCACACAGAGAGGGACTGCAAGTGCAGCACTGAGGACTGGGATGTCACCCCTGGGTGGAGATTTGACCCACGTCTGCTGTCAGGGCCTACCAAGGGTCCTTATGTCTGTACCCAGGAGTACAAGCCCCCTGTTCTCCTCTCTCCCACATGCAGACAGCTGAGGCCCAGCTGGCCTACGAGCTCCAGAGTGCCCGGGAGCAGCAGAAGATCCGCCAGGAGGAGATAGAAATCGAGGTGGTGCAACGCAAGAAGCAGATCGATGTGGAAGAGAAGGAGATCATCCGGAAGGAGAAAGAGCTGATAGCCACTGTGAAGCGGCCGGCGGAGGCCGAAGCTTACCGCATCCAGCAGATCGCCGAGGGGGAGAAGTGAGTGAGCCTGAGCTGTCAGAGGGGCACAGGGAGCTGGCTGTGTGCTGGGCTGGGAGCGCCGTGCTCTGACCCAGCTTGCAGGCTGACGGCAGAGGTGTTGGCTGCTGTAGGGCTTGCTTTGCCTTTTCAGGGTAAGGCAAGTCCTCCTGGCTCAGGCGGAGGCAGAGAAGATCCGCAAGATCGGAGAAGCTGAGGCCTTTGTGATTGAGGCCATCGGGATGGCAGAGGCCGAGAGGATGAAGCTGAAGGCCGAAGCGCTCCAGAGCTACGGGGAAGCTGCCCAGCTGGCTCTGGTGCTGGATGCACTGCCTGAGGTGAGGAGGGAGCAGCTTTCCCCTGCTCTGGGCTGGAGGTGGGGAGTTCCCAGACTGGGCCAGCTCTCCTGAAGGCACAGAGAGACCCTGTGGGTCTGACCAGCAGCTCCGTGGCTGCGTGCTCATGCCAAGCTCCTTCCCTGCCTCCTCAGATTGCTGCCAAAGTGGCTGCTCCGCTCTCCAGGGTGGATGAGATCGTTGTTCTCAGCGGGGAGAGCAGCAATGTGACATCTGAGGTGAACCGCCTGCTGGCCGAGATCCCCGCCTCCGTGCGTGCCATCACCGGTGTGGACCTCACAAAGGTGAGCTGGGTACCAGCAGCAGCCAATGGCTCTTGGGTGTGCGGAATTGCCCTGAGTTGTTCAGATTTTAGGCGGCCTCCTTCCGCAGCCCTGCCCTGCTGGAGCTCCCTGCATCTTCCTGAGGCCCTAACAGTTCTCTCTTTCCCTGCTACAGATTCCCCTGATCCAGAAAGCCACTGGGGCCCAGGCATGAGACCCAAAGCGTGTGAAGATCACTCCCTGTTATGCACTCCGACATCAACTGCCTTCAACACTTGGGAATTCCTTTTATATCAGAGACAATTGGAGTTTCGTTTTTAAGCTCTGGTGCCTTATTTTGTAGGGCCAGAAAGATGCATGTTCAATCAGCCGCTCTTTTTTGTTACAAAGGGTGGGAGGAGATTTATTTTCTAACTAATTGTATATTGTATCCAGCCGGTGTTTGGCTCTGATCCACGGTTAGGACTGGCAGCTTGTCTGGTGTTGCTGTTCTCTGTCCTCAGGAGCTCGCAGCAGGGGCTCAGCAAGATGTGTGCAGGCACCAGGACCTGCTCTGGGCTCCCTGCCCTCCCACTGCGACCCTATGGGGCACTGCCCAGACCCCTGCTGCTGCCCACAAACTGGGTTTGTGGTTGGCTTTCCACGTCTGTTTGTCTTGCCTGCAGCCTGGGCACGGCTTCCCAGAGGTGGCAGTCCTGGTTGGGTGATGCTGGGGCACTGCCAGGGCTCAGTGCCATCTTACCTTCCCTCAGGGAATTTCCTGCTGGCCTCTTGCTCAGCCCTGAGCCGGGTCCCTCGGTGCCGCGCTGCTCCCCACCCTTAGGCTCCCTGACCTCAAGGAGCGCTGCAAGGCGGCCGTGCTGCAGAAATCCCAAAAAGCAGCGTTGTGCCAAAGCTGTTTGATCATCCCAGAGGGAGGCAGCCACCCAGGCTGCTGTCCCTGAGTGCCACCATGCCTCTCACCTCTGCTAGCAGAGCAAGGGCCTGAGCAGCATGGGACAGCACGGGGCACTGCCATGGGGACGTTTTCCTCCTGCAGCACTCCTGCAAACCCCCACCCACCTGGCAGCCCGTGGCTTTGCTGTCCCCAGAGATGCTGTGAAAAGGCTGTCCCCTCTGTGTCCCCTGCAGTGCCACCAGGAGCGGGCACTGACCTTCACCCTCTCTGTGTCTGTCCTGCTGCCTATGTTTGCTGTGGCTGTGCCTAAAAAAGTTTGCATGGAGTCCCAGCTGGTGGGATGGGGAGGGGGGGGTCCCAACTTTGTGCATCTGGTGCCACAGCTCAGTGTTTGCAGAGGGGTGGCTGCTGGGTGCAGAGACCCAGGCCCACTTTGCCCTGGCAGTGCCACTGGTGCTGCAGTGTCACCTCCCTACTGCTGTACAGGAGGGGCCAGGCCTTATCAGCCCCCAGCTTGTGGCTGCCAACCCCGATCTGGTGCTTGCTGATGGGTGTGCCGGGCAAGGCTCCCTATCTCAGTGTGTGTGCATGCCTGCACCGTGTCACTGCTGTGCGATAATAAAGCCTGTCACCTCGTGCCCTGGCTCTCATCTTGTGCCTTCTGTCCCCACTCCACACCCCCAGAGTGTTTGCCCTCCTGGCAGCCCACCTTGGCTGCACTCAGGTGTCCCCCCATACCATGTCTCCATGGTCCCATTGCCCTGTCCTCAGGGCTGCTCCCTATGTGGGGTTCAACCCTGTTCCACTTTGCTGGGTGACAGCAGCTCCGTATGTCACCCAGGGACCCCATTGCTGTGGGGGCAGTGATGCTGACAGGGACTGAAGGCTACTTCTGTCCCCGGGTTGGTGGCACTGTGCTGTCCTTACCAGCTCTGCACCCATGGGTGTGAGCGATGGAGAAGGGCTTTCAGCAGGGTCTTCAGCAGCAGGAGAAGGGATGTTGGGCTGTGAGGATGGCACTTCCCAGTGAGAGGGCTGAGGATCTGGTGCAGGGTGCCCAGAGGTGCCCGTGCTCCATCCGTGCAGGTGCACAAGGCCAGGTTGGACACATCCTGGCAGTGCCCATGGAAGGGGTCAGACAGGACAGCCCAAAGTCTTTTCCAGCACAAGCAGTGCTGTGACTCCACGTCCTGGAGCACCTCTGTCCCCAGCCTTGTGCTGGTGGCTCTGCTGGTACGTGTGCTCTCCATGTGAGTGAGGATATCCAGCAACTGGGGGGCTCTATAGACACCTCGTGCCCCCAAGCCCCTCTGTGTCCCACCAAGTGCTGGGCAGGACAGAAGGGCCCCCCATCCTGCATGCCCCACGCAGGGTGGCTCTGCAGATAGGTGGGTGGGGATGGGATGGTGGCTCCTTATCTACAGCTACACACAGCCCTGCAGCATTGGTGGAGGGGGGCTGCAATACCAAAGCCCCCATAGCTGCTCTGCAGTGCTGTCCTGGTTGGCCGCACGCTTGGCAGTGCACAGATGTGGAGCACAGCTGAGTGAGCAGCAGGGATGGGGACACTGGGAGACACTTTGACAGAGTCCCTGCTCTGGGTGCTGGCTGCTTGTGCTGCTGTCTGGGGACACTCACATCACAACAAGGTCCAAAGGGAGCAGGGAACAGCCCCCTGTCGTCCCCAAGTCCTGGTGTCCTCATATTGCTGGGGACACACTGCTGCTGGCCGCTGTGTCACCTCCTGCCAGGGTCTGGCCATGCTGCCCCTGTCACACAGAGGGGACAGCAGGGCTGGAAACACCTTGCACCCCATTGCAGGGTCTGCAGCAGCCACCCAGTGCTGCTTATCTGGGTCTCCAAGCACACAGCCCTGGTGGGGACTTATCATATCCCTGCAGGTGGCTTCCAGGAATGCCACCATGTCCCTGCCAGCACAAATAGCACAATGGCATGGCGCTGGCTGCAGGATGTGACCCTCGGGGGGACACACAGGGCTGGGGACACGTATGGGCAGAGTCACACACAGGCACACGCAGCCAGGCACTGTGGCTGTTTGGGGACACACACGGCCAGAGGCCATGAATGGCCACAGTCACACACAATGAGGTGACACAACCCTCTTGGGGACGCATGTATCCGTCCTTTGGGGTTGCATATGTGACATACGGACACATTGGGCACCAGTTTGCCATGGGCAGCTCATCCAGGGGATGAAGGACTGGGGGTGATCCAGCAAGGGGGTGGCCCCTGGCCCCTGGCACCCCCCTGTCCTCGTGTCCCCCACAGGCAGAGCTTTGTGGGATGGCACAGAGCTGGAGGCTGGTGTCCTCCCTTTCACCCCCCACCCTCCCAGACACGAAGGGGTTACAGGGCCACACCAGCTGTGCTGTGCAGATTTGAGATATGCAGATGAGGCTGTGCAGGATTTATAAAGTGGGTGCAGCAGCAGCACCCCACAAAGCAGCGGGGTCACCCCGAGAGGTGGGTGCTGCCTATGGGGACACAGCGGGGTGGTGGTGGCACTTTGGGGACGAAGTGACACTAACGATGCTCTCCTTTTGTTTAGGTGCTTCTCATCACGCTGCCTGCCGCCCTGGGCTGGATATCATCATATACTGTAAGTTCACTATAAGACACTACAGTATAGATGATGTACTCCCCTGGGCTGCACCCGGCCCTGAGAGCTGCTCCGTGGGACTGCACTGTGGGGCACAGGGGGGTTATGGGGCGCCCTGAGGAATGAATGCAGCCAAGGACACATGGCTGGCAGGGAAACCGTTACCATTACTGAGTTTAGTAATGGTAATGGTTCTGCTGACAGCCAGGCACGCAGCGTGGCATGGATTGGTGTGGGCTGGTGTGGGTCAGTGTGGGGTGGTGGTGTGGGTTCAATAAAATCAGAGATGGCACAGAGACGGTGGCTCCTTCCCTTGTGTGGGGGGGGGAATCAACGTTGGGGTGTGGGAGAGATACGGACTGGGGCAGTTAGTGGTGCTGTGAGGGGTGTGGGGCACAAAAGGGGCACTGGGGGGGATTGCATAGGGGTCAGTGGGGAGCACTGAGGGGTGTTGGGGGCACTGGGATGGGCTGGGGAGCATTGTGGGGAACAGCAGGATGAATTGCAGAGGACATGGAGCACAGAGGGAGCACGGGGGTGGGCTGCGGGAGACACTGGGAGCACTGGGAGCAGTGTGTGCCCTGGGGGCACTGGTGGGACTACGCACACTGTGGGCACTAGGAAAGCTGGAAGAACCAGAAGCGCTGGACAGGCTGGGAGCACTGAGGGCAGTGAGAGCACTGAGGTGTACTGGGCACAGGGGGCACACTGGGAGCACTGGGCACACTGGGAGCACTGGGAGCACTGGGAGCACTGGGCACACTGGGAGCACTGGGCACACTGGGAGCACTGGGAGCACTGGGAGCACTGAGAGCACTGGGCACACTGGGCACACTGGAAGCACTGGGAGCACTGGGAGCACTAGGCACACTGGGCACACTGGGCACACTGGGAGCACTGGGCACACTGGGAGCACTGGGAGCACTGGACACACTACGCTGCACCGCCGCCCGCACTGATGGGCGCCACGCAGCGCGGCCGGCAGGGGGCGCTACATCCATCACTGCGTAGGGCGGCGCCCTAACCTCGTCTCCCTCCTCTCTATGCTCCCCCCGCTTTCTCCTCCAATAGGAGAGGCTGCCGCTCGCGCTCCCGGCCTGCCCCGCGGCGGGACAACATGGCGGCGCCCATGACTGCGGCGGTGGCGCGGGGCCTACTCTGGGCCCTCAGGGCCGGTTCGGCCAGTCCGCCGTCACGGCGTGCAGGTGGGGCGGCTGGAGCCGGGCCGGGAACCTCGCTCCGGGGAGGCCGGGGTCTGGGGGAGGTGAGGGCGGGCCGGGCCGAACCCAGAGGGTAGGGGAAGGGCCGTGCGGTAGCTGCGAGGTGGGAGGACGGGGCCGTCTCGGTTTCGGGGCGGTTTCGCAGGTTTTACACCGTTTCAGCGATCCTCCTGGAGAGCTGCGCTCGCTGCAGCGGGAGCGGTTCGGCGCTGGGCCACATCCTGGGCCTCCCCGGCGAGCGGCCAACCCCGGCCCTGGGCCGGCACCCGCCGCCCGTGGCCACCAGCAGAGGTGAGCGCAGCCTGCGGCCCCCGGCCCCGCCGCGAGGTAAGGGCACCGTGTGAGCGCCTTCTCCCCCCGCAGAGAAGCAGGCCCGCATGGTGCGGGGCCGCCCTGACCAGCCCCCGGAGCCCAAAGTGCTGAGAATTGCCATCATCGGAGCGCCCAACGCCGGCAAGTCCACGCTTTCCAATCAGCTCTTGGGCAGAAAGGTAAAACTGCCACAAATCACCGAGTTAGGGCTGTTTGATCACCTTTATTTTTTAACTGTAGTGGCTGTGAGATCCTTTTAATTTCTTAAAGGTTTTCCCAGTCTCAAAGAAAGTGCACACAACCCGATGCAAAGCACGCGGTGTCATCACGCATGAGGACACGCAGCTGGTGAGCTTCCAGGCTACAGAAATGGTGTTGTGTCCCAGGGGCAGCAAAGTGCAGGATCTCCATCCCTGGAGGAGCCCAAGGCCGGGCTGCGTGGTGCCCTGGGCAGCCTGAGCTGCTGGGTGACAGCCAAGCCATGGCAGGGGTTGGAATCGGATCCTCTCTGAGGTCCCTTCCAACCCAACCATTCTATGTTTTTTTTCATTTCTATCTTATGGTGGTGTTTAATCACACTGATATAAGTTAGTGGCAGAGCTAAAACTGCATGTGGACTTAGGAAATGTGTTTTTCCTCTTTCTAGATCATTCTGGACACGCCTGGTCTCACTTGTCCCACGAAAGCCAAAAGGTATCACTGCTGCTGTAGGGAGAGATGGGGTTCTATCACTAGAGGTTTGAGCGAACACAAAGTGATTTCCACTATGTGAATTTGTAGAAGTGGCAGGAATGTAAATTTTTAGCCTCATTTCGATCTCTTGATTTCTTAATTGTTTATATTTCAGTAACACCCAGAGCCTGGGGAATCCCTTGAGCCCTGTTGTGTTTGACTGTGTGCGTGTGTGTGTGTGTGCAGTGAAGGATGGTATAAACCTGTAAGGCAGCTCTGTGTGAGCTGGGATGATGGAAAGTGCTGTTCCTGCACCTGCAGGGGGAAGGAAGATTGTTGTGGTCCAACACAAGCCTAGCATGCTCACTTGTATTTGCCTTTCAGGCATAAACTAGAGGCGGCCATGCTGACAGACCCGTGGGACAGCATGAAACATGCAGATCTAGGTGGGCACTCAACTTCCTTTGCATCAAACCCTTTATCTGCCACAGAAACTTATAACCATACAGCTGTAGTACCTCTATATGCTACTGGGCACTAAAGGCAGACCTGGGAGTGTGAATAAGAAGCAGGGGTAGAAAGGCATAGAAAGAACTGAATTATTTGACCAGGGGGAGGGGTTTAGAATTGCCTAATGGAAAGGGAGGCAGCTTGGGTAAATATTTGGCCTTGGATGTTGCATTTTAGCATGTGTGATATTTGTAGCACAGCAAGTGTAAACTGGGTTTGTTGTTTTCTCATGTGAAACACCATTTTTGGATTGCACGTGCACACTGCCCTGCAGAAGTGAGAGGAGGAACAGCAGGAGGGAAGT